AAAGATTTTTGAAGGTCTACTTATAACTTTGTGTTCACTGCAGCATTAATCCCATAACCAAAGAGTAGACGAAACTTAAATGCTCTTCAATAGATTGAGCAAACAGATGCACAAAATGGGATTTTATTAATGGTTTAACACAAATATTGCATGTTATCACACGGAAGGGATAAAAACATTTTGCTAAGTGGAATACGCCACAGGGAGGAGAAAAGGGAAATGATTTTAATGGGTGTGCAACTGTAGTGCTCGCAATAGGAAAAAAGTATGGAGATCTGTTGACCAAAGTGGAGGTAATTAACGGTAGAGTGCATGCAAGACTATTAAGATGGAAACTTTACTTTATGTACTTTTAACTAAAAAGGGGGAAGAGAAGAAAGAGAGAAAAAGAGAGAGAGAGATGCATTGTTTGCTCACAGTAAGGGCAAAGACAGTAGGATACAAAACTCAAGGCCTATCCACCACTTCAAGAAGAGTACTGTCAAAACAAACACAACATTCCCATGGAATAGAAATGACACCTCAACCAGCTGCATCTTCATGCAGGCCTGGCTTTGGGTCCTGAAGACCGCCAGTTGGCCTAGAGTTCTCTCAAGTTAGTCCAGTTCATTAAAATTCCTCTGTGCAAAGTGAGGTCCAGAGTCTGGTTAGCTAATAACACAATGAGTTGCACTGGGGTATCCTGCAGTGACAAAAAATGATGCTCCCTCCTAAAACATAGAGCGGTCCGTTACAAGAGCAACTACACCAAACCGCACCTTAGCCCAGGCTCCTGCATTCACCCCACTGTTACTCTCATCTAGGGAACGCCTTAAAACTACTCTAAACTTGAGATATCGGCAATTGGAGAGAAGCCACCGCAAAAGTCGCTAGAACAAAGCGACAGACATCACAGGAAGAACTATCAAAGAGAAAAGGAAACGAACATGTCCCCAAACCCAAGTGCCCCAGTGCACTTAAAGAATTAATTCTAAAGTGTAGCCTGAATGTGGAAGAAAATTAATGCTTAAAATGTGAGTTCATAACTTTGGAAAACACTGACCAATTATGCTAGAAACGCTTGGTGGGATAAGCTAATAACTTTCTGTAAGAAGTGAAAAAAGTCGTACACTAAAAACAGGCAGAAATAAATCAAGGATGGGAAGCTATTAATAGAAGTCATTCAGCATCAGAGAGAGACACCAGGATGAAATCACAAAACAGCTTAAAATTTGAGCACACTGAGTCTGAATGTTTGTAACTTACAACATAGACATGGTGTGAAGGACTGGAAAGCACGGTTGAGAGGTAAAATGGATATGGCATACAAGTTAAACTTTTTAGAATTGGAGAATTATAACTCTTTGGATTATAAATTCATTACAAATTTCTAACTGGTAAAGACAGTTTAAGAACAGGAAATATAAAATGAAAATATTTCTATGTTTCCATAGAGATTACCTCAAAGGAAATATTAAATTGACAACAAATTCCTACATTCAACAACAGATGCCAAAAACCAATGGAATAATCATTTCATGGACGTTATGGGAAATGCCAGTCCGGTGAGATGTTTACAAGTAAATGAACTACAGTCAAAGGGAGGAATGGAAGAAAGAGTGCACATGGATTTATGAGGCAGGAAATTATCTGTTACGCAGAGATCCTCATACAAAACCCGAGCAGTCACTTCATACGAACCCTCACAAAAAGAACAATGAAATATATAGTTTGGAGAATCAGTAAACACAACAAGACTAAATCTGACACACACAGAAACTGTTTGTAGAAATTATTTTCCAAATGTGATAAAATACAATCACTATCTACAAATAATTTATTCCAAAATACATTCATTCAGATTGGTGAAATGTGTTTTAATAGCCAGGAATATATTCTATAGCTCATGAACTGTTCAGAAAATAGAAACACAAAAATATTTATCAATGAATGTAATCATGTAATCATGGCTACATGCAAACTGAAAACTAGAAGCAAACACTAAAGGAAAAGAAATGCACCCTAAGTTTAGAAGAATAAAAGAAAAATGGAAAATTTTCAGTAATGCATGAGAGTTTAAAAAGATAAAAACCAAAGAAGTTTAAACAGGCAAAATGCAATGATTAAAAAAACAAATCTAGATACATCAAAAACCTATTCTGAGATATACATATATATCTTTATTTATATATCTATACAGATATATAAATCTATATGGATATAGATACAGATGATATATATAGACAATATAGATAAAATATAGATGTAAATAGATATAGATAAATATGAATATAATACAGATGATATGGATGGATTAGATATAGAGATACACATTAGTTTGCCTGGATTTTGAGAACAGACCTTAACCCTTTAGCTCTCCCCACGCTACCCAGCAATCAGCCCACCTCCACTACTCTTCTCTGCTCCTGCTTTTTAGTGAATGAAGAGAACTCAAAGGTAACAAGGGAACACATCTCCAGCTTAAATTTAAACAGAAGCCAGAAAATGACAGGATGGACAGGATCACACTTGGCCTCAGCTTCTCTAGGACTTCTCCAGTTTGGACACCACCCACCATCCCTCCACATGTCCCTTGATGGCCCTCACTGATGTGTCCCACTGCACTGGTCAGAGAAAACAGGAAGCTTCTTTGCAAATAACTTCAATTCTTTGTATGTGGCAAACACACCCCGGGGAAAGCTGGGGTTACCACCTGCCTCTGTAACCACCACAAGGCCTCTGCACCAGTCTGGCACTGCAGCACACCAGACAGAGGAGCTGGAGGACACAGTGTGATGTGCCCGTACACTCTGACACTTGTCCCTAGAGTCCTATTAGAGACTGTTAAAAACCAGTATGCACCCTACCAGTCTGGGACAGAGATAGGGCCTTTAGAGAGAATAGAACCAGCTCACCTATGCTAGGGATGATCTGCTTGGCATTATAGGACACTTGCCCCCGTGCCCTAGCAAAGAAAGCACCATGACTCTATGGGTGACAAAAACAATCTCATGTAGCAAGGCATGCAGAAAATGATCACTGGCTTTACAAAGGTGTTGGCTCTATTTTTAAGTCAGGACTGCAATCAAAACTGCAAGTTTCTTTTAAACCTCTCCATCCTGCAGACCCTAGACCCATGCATTTAGCTTCACTTCTAAATAAGAAGTATAGAAAGAATACAATTCTGAAAATTGAATGAACCCCTTTTGCCCATCCATTCTATACACAAACCACTGGCCAATGAAAATCAACTCTAGTTCAATGGCCCAAGTCCTACAGGGACATTGCACCCTCTGCCATTACACCCTGAGCCTTTGCAGGCTTCTGTGATGTAATCATCTTTAATGCCATCCTCGGGTCATCTCCACATTTTTGTTTTTATCCCAGTCAACATTTGTGTTGCAGCAGCAGTTTAGCTAGCTAGAATTATCCATCATAGGGCCCCTCTTTATTCTTGTTTTGATTTTTTCTATTTTGAATGAATTTGTAAGGGCTTGGGGCTATTAGCTTAGGGGTAGAGTGCTTGCCTAGCATATGCAAGTCCCTAGGTTCAATCTCTGGTGCTGAAAAATTAAAGAAAATTTTAAAGGGGTTTCCTGATGACTTCACATGAAAAATTGTTAGTGTATCTAACATGATGCATGAAAAATGAATGCTTGTCACTTAGGCTGAAAATGTTTCATCTTTAAATGTTATTTTGATCATCAACTTGAAATGTGTGCATGAGTATGCCAAATATAAATGGATACCCAGATCTGAATACACTCATAAGTAGAGCGTCACCTTTGATCTTTTTAAGTTATGTTGTGTTCTAACTAACACAGCAATAACAGTTATATTTGTGAGGGACTTTGTGACATAGCAATAAAGGCAAACAGCATGGCATGATCCCATCAGAGTAACTGGACTATCTGTAACCATGATATTTATCATAGGTTTTGGGAACTTCATTCATATGATTGCAGCTTTAATACAATGTGGTGACAGATGCATTACTAATAAGCAAGTATAATATACGAGATACTCATTTAGTAGCTATTTGATGTCTACTACAACTATTCAGTGTTGAACCTGCAGCTGAGAAACACAGGTGAACTTCCTAGACAGTCTATATAGTGGCCAAGATTACAGAATGGGTAGAACTCGTTAGCTGTGATTTTCAAAAGGACATTTTTTTTTATAAAACACAAATAAACGATTCCCATATGAAAAACACAAATTATTCTGAGTAGCTACATTTTCAGTGCACGAATTAAAAATTTTGAGACAGAACAATCAGGATAGCCTTAACTTAAAAACGTGTCTTAAATGTTTAAAAATATGTCTGTGCTCACAGTATAGCCCAGGTAATACACAAATTGTCACTCAAGGATTTTAGGAGATAGCATACAAGGGAGGAGCCAACACCAACCCACTAAAGATCCAGAAATTAAGATAAGGTGGAAAAGTTATTTGTACACACACACACATGCACAGACACACACACACACACACACACACACACACACACACACACACACTATACTGACATGTGCATACCACACTGATGACATTGCTCCTAATCCAGAGCTCACTCTGCAAATTCATTGCCTTTAAATTAAATAATATCTACAGTCTAAAAAATATGACACTACAAGGACTTATTAAGCAAAAACAAAAGCAGAGTCTATGAAAATTCTTTCTCTATAATAAGATAAAGAAGACCCTCTATAAACCATCTTGTGTCCCTGATGGGACATTAACATGGGAAAGAAAGAGTGTCTTACTCCTTGAACTGAACAGACAGGTAATTCCAAATTCAAACTTCTCTGGAAGTTGAAACTAGATGTAAGAATATATAACACAGAAAGTAACTGGTTTATTTTCATTGCTGGGGCATGATCTTTAACACCTAAAATGTAACAGTATCAATTTGAAAATATAAAATGACATCAGTTCCTTGATCTAACCGCTTCACTAACACCACACACACACACACACACACACACACACACACACACACACACACGTGAGCTACTTACTGAGCTGTAGAGATAGCCTTCCCCATTCATGGCCACATAGAGACTGGCCTTCACACCTTGGATGGCCACCACCCGCAGTCCCACAGGAATTAGATTGAAGAGGGCTAGAAGAAGAAGAAGAAAAGACAGAAAGATTAATGACCTAGTGAATAAATCATCTTGCTCTTTATAATATTCTTGCAATTTTCAGCATCAAAATCCATTTATTAGAAACAGCATGGACAGAGTGATGGAAAGGGAGAAAGGAGATGGGGGGCGGGGGGAGGAAAGAGAATTAAAACCAGTTGGGGACTACACCGCCTTGGCTTGCCTCTCCAATACCATTAATTATTCATTCACAGAAGCTCCAGTGAGGTGTGTGATTCAACTAAAACAGAAATGCTAGGTTAGAAGGACTGCGAAAGTCTACATGGATTGGAATGTCTGGAATCTCTGCTCCCCAAAATAAACACATGAAGTAGCACAGTACAGTTTTCTAACAACTAACTTGCAACAAAACTCCTCAATAATAAAAGCAACCATCCTTCCTAAGTAACAATAAAATATAATCTTTAAAACACAACCGAACTTGCTTCAGTCTTCTTGTTGTGACCCTGAAAAAGTCATGAACACAAACAGTGAACACAGTCATGGACTAACACGGAGCAACAGAGCGGAGCGCTTGCCTCTTGAGATTTTGAAACTTTGCATGGAAATGAGGATACACTGATAAACGACTTGGTGGTTTGAATGAGAGAGGCCCCCATAGGCCCATCTATATGTATACTTGATCCCTAGTAAGTGGACTGACTGCTTGGGGGGAGGATTAGGAGGTGTGGTATTACTGGAAGAAAAGTGGTGTGTCTCTAGGGATGGACTCTGAGGTTCCAAATGCCCATGCCAGGCCCTGTTTCATTCACTCTGCCTCCTCCTGGTGGATCAGATGTGAGCTCTCAGCTACTGCTCCAATGCCATGTCTACATGCTTGCTGCCTTGCTCCCTGCCATAGTTGTCAGGGACTCGCCATTTGAAACTGTGAACGAGGTCCCAATTAGATTCTTTCTTTTATAAGTTGCCTTAACCATGGTGTCTCTTCACAGCAATAGAATAGTAACTGAGACAAGTAAACGGGCAATTTATAGCTAGTTTGAGCAACAACAGATATATGTCATAGTTAAAGAAAAACAGACTATATAAAACATTAAAAATTAAGTTGGCAAGCTGATTTAAACAACCTAAAATCAAACAGGAACATCGTCATCTTTATGTATTCAAATTACCTGTGACTGGAAATACTAAGGTACTGTGTCCACTCAGAGAAAAGCAAATGCATGGGCCAGAAAAGACAAAGGTGGTTGGGTTTCCTATGCTCCTTCTAGCAATGTCTTGTTATGAAGTATATGTCATGGCCCTGGGTCCAGTTGCTTTTGAGGTTACAGAATGAGCATAAGCAGAAAATATGACCCTAAAAATATTTGCATCACACACGGGAGGGAAGCAATCACCCACCTAGTTAGACTCTGCAGATGGCATTGCCGGGAGGCATAAAATATCTCAGGACTACTTTTGTAAAAGAATCCTTTGCAGTTCTCTTTAATAAACTGAGTGGCAGAGATCATGCACCCTCTCTACAGATAAAATGCTTCATTTCTGATACTGTCAAAGTTTAATAGAGTACCCCAACAAATTAACCCTATTGCTTCGACCTGGGTTTTTTCAACTCAAGACAGTAAGCTATCTGCACACACAGCACCAACACAGACATGTACAGTGTTTAGATTTGTCAAGTGTTCAGCTGAGACTTGAAAAGGATCAAGCCTTGGACTACAGGTTTCCGGTGGCAGGACTGTTTTTCTAGTTGCTGACACTGGCTAAGTCTCTCCCTCCTTAAGCCTGTTTTCTGATTTTCACAGAAATATAGACTATGTTAGAATCGTTGCTTAAGCATTAATTGTTCCTTCAATTTAGAGCTAATTTTAGTTCTTCCCATAGGCTCAGCATGGATCATGCAGTTTTTAAATTGCTTAAGAAATATAAGACAGTCTGTTTCAGGAGACATACAGAGTAACCTAACACAGTGCACAATTTATTTCTATAATCAAATAAATATATACTTCTCTGAACATAGCTTGTATGTTTGGTAAGTTCAGGGGATAACATGAAATCTCTTCGTGGCCTGAGGTATTTAGGAAATATTTTACACAGAGCACAAGACTGAAGCTGACACTTAGGAAAGCAGAGGAAGGCTGAGGTCATTCTGAGGAGAAAGCACAACCTGGAAATAGACAAGCATCCTCCTAATCATAGGGATGTGGATTTTACTAAACAGACAAGAGAACCCTGACACACGAAGACTAGAGCAGCAACGCAGATTAAGAGACAAACAGTGTGAAGGTGGATGTTTCTAGACCAGCCACGCAGAGTCACAAGTCTTTTAATTCCACGTCCCCCTCCATGTGGGCAAAACAATACAGTGCACACAATACAGATGCTTATAGAAAAAAAAATGTGCTATGCTCTTGAAAGTGTTTCACAAATAGTTATTTAGCATTAACAGTGAATATCCCCTTTTGTACATGGATGACTGATGTACATGGGTCCACACAGGCCACACTACATACGTGGAGGTCAGAGGGCACCCCAGGAGTCTGTGCTCATCTTCTACCTTATTTTGAGGCAGAATCTCTGGGTTGTTCAGATATGTAACCAGGTTATCCGGTCTGCAAGCTTACACGTTCTATCTCCGCTCTCATCTCAGGAAAGGAGCTCGGGGATTGCTTACATATGATCATACCGAGCTTTCTATGGTTCCAAGGATTTGAGCTCAGGTCCACACATTTGTATTCCAAGCACTATACTCACTGAGTCATCTCCCTAGCCCAATACCTAATAATTCTCATAAGTCATGATCCACCATATATAAAACATCAACATATTTCCTTAGTAATTTTCTTAGTTTGTACTCGACACCATTGCTTAATGCTTCAAAAGATAATATTTTATATCTATGCATTTTCAAAATGCTTATAAACTCACCAATTGTATTTCATCCTAAACCATAAATGGCATGAGGAATTTCTGGCAGAATGAGGATTGCGTCAATTTTTAAGACAAACTACTTCAGAGAGGTAACTGAGCTGATAGTGACACTAAGCAGAAAATTTCTAGCTCACTGATGTAGTTACCTGGAAAAAACTCTATTTCTTCTTTGTGCCATTTAAACTTCAATTTCCAAGGATAACTGGTTTTATCTTCTCACAAACTAATATGTATCTTAGCTGCTTTTCCTACATTTGCTATGGCCAGAGGTAGCTCCTTAGGGACTCGCTATTTGACACAGGCAGACAGACCTTAATATGCTTAATGAATCCTTCCTAAAAAAGCTGAATTTTGGTTAAAGTTAATTGCTTTGCTAACCATTAGTGAGCTATAGTTCATCTCTGTCCAACAAATAGCCATGCATTCTCCTTAAAGTGTTTAGTTTTTCTTTAAAAATTTCATACATAGACGCAATCATCTCCATTCCACTTCCTGGTACCCACCCACCTCACTCCTCTCCCAACTTCATGTCCTCGTCCAGCCAATGAAAACTGAGCTTTCCTGATGCTTTCATCACTTTCATTTCTTGTTTTTTTTATTATTTATTTTATAAAGAAAACAATCTTTTTTTCATTTTGCATACCAATCCCAGTTCCCGCTCTCTCCCCTCCTCCCCTTCCTTCTACCTAATCCCCTCCCACTCCATCCCCCAACCACTTTTCAGAGAGGGTTAGTGAGGCACATTGCTTTGGGGAAAGTCCAAGGCTCTCCCGGCTCTATCTAGGCTGAGCAAGGTATCCATCTGAAGAGAACAGGTTCCAAACAAAAACAGTACAAGCAGTAGGGATAAATCCTGGTTCCACTTTCAGTGGCCCTGAAGTCTGCCCCAGCCATACAACTGTCACCCACATTCAGAGGGACTAGTTTGGACCTATGGTGTTTCATTCCCTGTTCAGCTAGTGTTGGTGAGCTTCCATTAGCTCAGGTAGACTGTTTCAGTGGGTGTCCTCATTGCGGTCTTGACCTCTTTGTTCATATTCTCTCTCCTTCCACTCTTCAGTTGGACTTTGGGAGTTCAGTCCAGTGCTCCGATACAGGTCTTTCACTTTTGAATGGTTAGGGTTACTCCCAAAGTATTTTATGTTCTTTGTGACCATTGTGAGGGTGATGTTTCTCTGATTTCTTTCTCAGGTTCTTTATCATTTGTATATACTGAATCACTGACTCTTGGTTTGATAGTGCTAATGTCATTGTACATATGAATGTATTTATATATAGTCCTATGAGATGACCACATTTTTTCCAATGTTTTTTTTACCATTTATTTGTCTCTTGAGTGTATGACATTTGATATATGGTATTAAATGCATTTATATGTTAAAAGCTAAAAAATCCATCCTAAAGAAAATACAAATATTTCCTTCACAAATTCTTCTTGACATTTCGTCTTTTACTGTTTTGATGAGAGTGGTGAGGTACCAGGATCATCTCAGACTTAAAAACAAAGGCTACTCCCAAGTGAGTAATGGCAGATGGGTGGAAGAAGCAGAGTCCCAGAGAGTTCTGGGAGGTGTGGCAGCGGTCCAATGCTCAATTACTAATCCTTGCTTTCAGGAAAAGAAAAGTCCTCACAGTTTAAATCTATGCAATGCAAAACCTTCCCTAATCCTGACAGAGATTGCTAAGGAAGGCAGAATTCGTGTGCAAAGTACATCTTAAATGCAAGGTACTTACGTATTGTAAATAAAAGTATCTACTGGTAAGTATCAAATAAGATAATGGTTCTTGTGAGAAAGAATGAAGGAAAAAGAACCTGAGAATAATGGCCCCTAAGGAAGAGGCTTCTCTGTCAAAGGTTAGAGCATGGGTAATGCAAGTGATTTGGAAAGGGAAAAGCCATTCAATGGCTTCCCCCTCCTAGAGAGGCTTAAGGAAAGAACTAATAACCCCTGGTGAGGGACTAGCACACACCGGAAAAAGTCCTCTCTAAACCACAAGGGGATAAGGGCTTTCGGGTGGAATGCTTCTGGAGACTTAGCTTTTGCTGCACAGATTCAGTAAACAACTTTAAATAAGACTGTTGAGT